AGTGTGTGTGTGTGTGTGTGTGTGTGTGTGTGTGTGTGTGAATACATACATGCATATAGTGTTTTAATTTAGCATATCTTTAAAATGAATAAACAATGAGTTGTATTGTATCTAGTAAGAGAAAAAAATTCCTGCAGATTACAAGAGTCACACTTCCTAGTGTTGGTAGAAGTACTAATTTACGGAGGTTCCATCCTCTAGTGGTGTGCAGTGAGAACAGTAAGTCAAAAGCAGATTTCATTGACACCTTAGTGGGAAACCTTACACAGGCTATGAAAATTTTCAAGATTTTTATGGGGATTCTTTACAGTAAATGTCATCTTTTTCTTGACAGTTACATCAAACGTGTAATAGAAACATAAGCCTACAAGAAGATAAATGAAGCTGCCATTGAGGGTAGTGCTATTTGATATAAGAAAAGAATGCTAGAACACAGCTCCAAGGTGGAAGGGAAGATGGCTACATGCTTATCATAATTTAATATTCCTGGCCACAACTGCTCCAGGATGTTTCTTTTTCCTGCCATATTATACATGATGATTCTTTTCTTTCCCCACCAGATCTGGGAAAGCCACATGAATGGAAGAGGAGTAGTTCCTTAGTGAGGTTTGGGAATGGGGCTGTCATGAATCTGCCCATGGTAGTGACTCTTTCTGGCTATATGGGAAGTGTAAGTACATGAGTCCAATTACCCCCTCACACTACCAGCTGTTCATTGGTGTCTTTTTAGCAGGCCACCATTCAGCCCAAGGCCTTTCAACTGTCTCAACCTTCTCAGGGTCCCAGATGAAACCACAAAATAGCCAGCAATCAGCAAATGGGGTTACACAAAAGAAAGGTAAAGAAAAACTTGTGGGCTGCTCCCACCAGGGTATGGGTGTCTCTTACATCAGAGGAGCCCTGAGAGTATCCCTGTCCCCTTCAGTGCCCCTACTCCCCAGGATTCCGGTGCAGGTCTGAGTCCTTTTTTCCCATTCAGCTCTGGGGTTCATGCGCCCTCCACCTGGAAGGGCAGGAGTTCTACAGGCTGTCAGTCTTCTCTTGAGCGCTGGATAAGCTCAACAGTCTGTTCCCTTCCCAGGATTTCCCTCATGTGAGTGGAGTTCCTCCTTTTACCTCCTCCTCTAGTCCCGGCATGAGTTGCAGATGCAGTGGGGTGGAGTGTGGGGTTAGTGAACCCCATGACAGGCTGGGTGGGCCACAGCAGGGTCGTGCTGGGATCCGGATCAGAGGATCTGCCTCTACATGAATCTCCCATTCTTTCCCTCTCCTTTCCCCTGATATGGGGGAGAGCCTGCTTGGCAGGAGAGTCAACTTCTGTTGTTGAGCTGAAGTAACTTCAACAGAACTGCTTTGCTTCTGCTGTGCAGCAAATGATAGAGAATACCTCCCCATTTTCCCCTTCTGGAGATCCCAATGTCCCGCCAACATGGCACCAAAACACTGTTATGTACTTGGCTCACCTTCTGCCCCATAGTCTTAGTGCAGGAACAAGTAGTGTTACCCAGGGTTCTTTCAACCCAAAGCTCTTGGTAACTTTTACTCTGTGTGAGGTGGTGTCAGGAAATAAATCAGGGAAGACACGGCCATCCGACCGATAGATGGCTGGCACAAACAGGACAACACGAGTGCTTTCACTTAAAGCTAAACTTTACTTAGTATCAAGCACTTACACACATCTGTGACGGGTTAATAAAATACCCCCAACCCTTGATAATTACCAAAGGTGAGTGTGGCTCTCAAGTGACACAGCGGCAGGCTTCTGGGGGCCAAATCTTCTGTCTGCCGGTGGGGACCACAAGATGTATCCAGAGGGAGAGTCCAAAAAGAGTCCAACTACCTGAAACTTTCCCCCTTATTTATACATTAGTAATAGAATGACATGTCCCTTAAAGAAAACTTGTTAAGCAAGCAGTTCCAATGGGCAAGCAAGAGGCTCCTTCTGATTATTGATTAACCAGGTGTGGGTTTTTCCAGAGTTTGCAGCCTTGAAACCCCAATAGGCATTTCTGGGGCACATCCTGCTCTTTTAAAATGCATGTATCAGCAACTTCAACACAATCCTTATCAGGAAGGACGTGGGGTCAAGCTGCCCTTTCTGTGGCACCCAAAACTCCCCTCCCCCACCCCGCCTTGGTCAAGCTGAGACTGCTGAATAGCCAATTTACAGCTTGCTGACTAGGCTGTCTTTAACAATAAGCCATAGTGGTTTCAGGCACTTTACTGGTTTGCCAAAATCTCCCCATACAGTAGAAACAGGCGATTGATGACATTCTGCACCCATACCATCTGCTATGCACACAGTCACATGTGTGAATTTATTACTGCAGTGATAAAGGGCCGACTTCCAGAAGGCAAGAGTAGTAGAAAAGAAAATGAAAGAACAATAATCTGAGGGGATCCCAGCTTCACAGAGGAACCCCTCCTTATTGTTCCTTGCCTCCCACATTTCAGCCATGACCACATAGTAGGATTACTAATTTTGCTGTTTTCTCAGTGCCTGCAACTGTGCTCTGTAACTGTTGGGGAGTTAGACTGAGGCAACACCAAGTCTGTCCTGTTGATTTTACCTATGTATGCATTTGAGGAGATGGGAGAGGTCAAAATGCTTAAACTTGTTCTTCCCTTCTCCCCTAATTCTGTTACTTTTCCTACACTGTCATTGAGATGTGCAGATAAATGCACAAAGTAAGATTGAAGGCTTTGCAAAGGAAGTGAGGGCAGCATTCTGCTTTGCCATATTCCCTTTCATAGGCACCCACCAAAGTTTTTTTGTTTTGTTTTTATGAATTTGCTCCTCTCTTCATTGCACAACATGGGGGAGAAAACAGATCTTTGTCGTTTTTACTCCACCCAGGCAATCCTCAGGGGTCTGGGTCTGCTGCTTTTAGCAGAATAATCCAAAGTAGCCAGAGCAGGAGCCAGGATCTGACCAACTTTATCTAACAGAGTGTAAATGACTACACAAAAATGCAAGGCCGTGTAAGAGAGGGACTGCAAGAGGCTGTAACAGTCTATTATACAGAACTCCCTCCAGTTGTGCAGTTGTTTGTTTGTTCCTTGTTGCTACACGTAGCACTTGCTGTATTTATAGACTTCATTGTTTCTTAAACGTTTTTATGGTTTGCCTGCCATATTTAATTGTGAAATTAACACACTATTTTTAAAACATAAGGGTACTAATATTTACATAGTTCTGCTGCAACATGAAAAACATAGTGCTTAAGCATAAATACTTTATTGAAAATAAATAATTTACTGAACAAAATCCACCTAGTCTCCTAGATAAAGTACGAGGAGAGCAAAATATTAAGGGTGGAATTCTCAGAAGGGCCTAGCACATATGCTCAGGACTAGATTTTTAGAAGAACTTAACTTCAATCCAGACACCAAAATAAGTGGCTAATAAGTAGGTTGGGTACTGAGCTCTTTAGAAAATCTGTCCATAAGTGTCCCAATGGAAACTGCAGTGTGCTGAGCACTTCTGAAGTGGCCCCATAAGTGTAATCTGCATCTTTGAATGAGAGAGATTTATAAAGTGTGTGTGTTTAAAGCGTCTATATGCGGGAAGGTCAGAGAGGAAAGCTATGATTAGAACTGGCTGGAAAATGGTATTTTCCATGAATATTTTTGAAAAAGGATTTTGTTTGTTTAAAAATATCATTTTCAAAACCCAGAAAGCTTTCGTTTTTAAGATAGAAAATTTTGAAAGAAACAAAAATGCACTGCAATTTTTTTTGTTTTGAAAACAGATTTTTTTTAAAAAGCAGAAACTAGCTGTTGTGATAATGGATAGCTCATGTGACAAGCTCTTCTAAAATTTGCTTTCCATTGCTCTTGGCTATATTCGTTTATAAATCTGTATCTTTTTTGCTAATTTCATATGATGCATTCTATTAAAGCAATGGTTTAGCAAATCCCTGCCTTTAACTAGTTTGCTTGCATTTGTATTTCTGCTACCTGATTGATAGAAAAAGTCAAATCTGCATTGGTTGATGTTCAGCTTTAGCTCATGAGGTTCCAGGGTCTTGGTCAAACAACAAAAATAAGATAATATGGAAAGAAGGATTCAGAAATATGTAAGGAGTGGTGTTTGTGTGGCGTATGCTTTCTGATAATACAAATCATGAATTATATGCTGGGTAAGTGATGTAGCCACTATCATGGCAGCAGCATCTGGAGACCTCAAGTGCATCCATCCACCAGCAAGTTGATGAAGAGAGCAGTCTGTGAGTGCTGGTGTTGTGGTTATTTAATTAGTGGCTTTCTTCCCTCTGACAGTACTGATCTACTGTGATCTTAGAGAATACCAGGCATTGGAGTAGCAATCTTTCATATGAAAATCCTAAGAACTTTGGGTCATTAAGAACCCTGACACCTGGTTGACCACACTGTTATTTGACTCTACCACTAACTTCAAAGTAGCAAATTGATGTTAACGGCACAAGCATAAACAGGGACGGCTCTGGCTTTTTTGCCGCCCCAGGCAAAAAAGCCTCTGGCCAACCCCCCAGCGCGGCAGGGGAGGGCGGCCGGAGCCCCAGGGGGAGGGCGGCAAGCCCCGGCTGGGGCTCCGCTCTCCCCGGCAGCCAGAGCACCGGGGGGAGGGCAGCGAGCCCGCCCGGGGCTCCACTCTCCCCGGCGGCCGGAGCCGGAGCACCGCGCCGCCCCTCTCCAGGTGCCGCCCCAAGCACAAGCTTGGTGGGCTGGTGTTGGAGCCAGCCCTGAGCATAAAAATCAAGTATTACAGTGGGGAATCGGGCCCCTGGTTACACTTTATGCAAAATAGGAGTGTTAGTTTCAGCATCTTGGTCTAATTCTAATTGTACTTTACTTTATCTACTTAGTTTCCCTCTACAATTTCTGTTGGATATTTCAGGTAAATGGTGTATTTAATTGGTTATTCTACAATACTCTTCACTCTTGTGTAGATGGTTGTGCTTCACTGGTGAGAAAATCTGTATATAAATCCCATCTATAGTGCAGAATGGGAAGCAGTATTTGTTCACATTAGTAGACGTGTGTCCAGTGAAGGCAACAATCCATCTTTGCCGGCCAGGGTGTTGAAAATAGGGTTGGCATATTGTATTGCAGGTCACTTTTTTCAGCAGAAGCATCATACTCTTTGCTGTTGCTGGTTTCAGAGTAGCAGCCGTGTTAGTCTGTATCCGCAAAAAGAATAGGAGTACTTGTGGCACCTTGGAGACTAACAAATTTATTAGAGCATAAGCTTTCGTGGGCTACAACGTCCGAAGAAGTGGGCTGTAGCCCACGAAAGCTTATGCTCTAATAAATTTGTTAGTCTCTAAGGTGCCACAAGTACTCCTGTTCAACTTCTATAGTATTTTAGAGGACATTTACAAATGCCTATTAATTAAAAGGCATTGTGGAATAACAAACGTGCTTACTACTAAAGGGTCTGATTTTTAAAGAAACCATAGCATGTGTCCCTTTACGTGCCAACAGATAAGTGCAGGTACAGAAAAAGGGTAAACTCCCCAATGATCTTACTGCTGAGGTTTCCCCAAACTATCAGTATGTGCGCATTTGCCCCAAGTGGAACAGGCAGTGGCACTACACACAAAACGTGAGGGCTCTTTGAAATCTTCAGGAGGCTAGGAGGGGTCTTCATACAGAGGCTTTGTCTCTCCTTGCCAGTTCTGGAGACCCCAGTGGATCACCCAAATCCAGGCAATTCCATTGAAGCCACTGCATTTGCTCTCTTCAACACACTCTTTTAAGGGAGATGTCTACAGTATGAAGATATTAACAGAGGAATTAACACATTTCAAGGCTACACTAATTCTCTTCTTCCTTGTGGTGGTGGTGAGGATGAATGGGAAGATATGCTTCTCCCTTAGCTCTGCTACAGCCCACAACCAGCTCTCATTTTAGCCATAGGACCTCCAACTGAGGGTGCTTGTAGAGTCTGGGGGTTAGGAAAGGAATGGGGTGATCTATTTTAAGGGGTGTGGACCTAAGGACCTCTTGATGCCCAGTGGCAGAGGACACAGATTACAAGGATCATGAAAAGGTGTCATGTAAGGCCTCTATTGAAAGAATGTCATCACAATCATTGTGAAATGTATGAGCAGATAATGTGTAAGTTATGTATGTTATCTTTTTAAGGCCTTGTAGTTAAAGGCATGTCACGCAAAGGTAGCTTGCATTTAGACAGACTTTTCCAGATAGGAAGTGGGAGACACTTTTATCTCCCTGGTTGACTGTTGTGCATTGTTTCTTACAATGGAAGTCTATTTGCATATTGAGTCAAATGCTGATGAACAGATAGTGACTGCTGCAGGGAAAAACAAAAACAGCCGGGGTTATACTTTTAGGGGTATAACGGAGTACGGTGATGCACCGGGCATCCTTCAGTCTTGGAAGACAAGCTGCCAGCAGGCTTGATCTTATGAAAGGAGGTTCTCAGCCATCCTGGTTGAAAATGCTGGGAAAAGGACTTGGGGTAAGCTATCCTTTAGGAAATGGGAATGTCTTGTGAGTTAAGTTTAGGCTCTAAAAAGCATGTTATGATTTTGTTTTATATGTAATCATTTGCTTCCAGTATTCTCTCTTACTTTCATTTGAATCTCTGTTATTTGACAATAAA